CCTGAAAATAGCTGTGCAGCGACGTTCCCCATCCAACCTCACAGAGATTGAGAGGATCTGCAGAGAAGAATGGGAGAAACTCCCCAAATACAGGTGTGCCAAGCTTGTAGCGTCATACCCAAGAAGACTCAAGGCTGTAATCGCTGCCAAAGGTGCTTCAACAAAGTACTGAGTAGAGTCTGAATACTTATGTAAATATCATATTTCAGTTTTTTATAAATTTGCAAAAATGTCTATAAACCTGGTTTTGCTTTGTCATTATGGGGTATTGTTTGTAGATTGATGAGGAGAAAAACAATTTAATACATTTTAGAATAAGGCTGTAACGTAACAAAATGTGGGAAAAGTCTGCAAAGGTTGTGTAACATGAACACTGCTTCCCTGACTGAGTTGACCCTGTGGATTTTATTTGCCAGACGACTTCTATTTCTGGTCTGAGCCTCCTCTCTTTAAAATCTTTCCCTTTCTACCTTTTTTATGGCCAGTAACATAAACCAGAAAATCTAGTTATTCTGCTTAACTTTTGCAAGGGTCATTCACTCTTGTTTATACTCTCTCCGTCTGTGTTAATGCCTTGCTGTAAGAAATGTAGTGTAATGTAATCACAGTGTCATTGGAAAGGTGTTGCTGAGTCAAATGTCAAACTAAGGCCATGTTCAGAACATCTTGCCCACTGAGGTGTTAAATGCCTGTGATTGCACTCGTGCAATGTGTACAGTGGAACTGAATCAAATGAAGAAGAGATTGTTGTTTTCAGTTAGGGCTTGTGTTGACCAGAGTCATGTCTCTATCTATTGCTCTGATCTTGACCAGTGAGAACACTCAGATGGAATCTGATCGATATAATAGGAATTATGGAGTCAGAGAGATTCAGATGCATTTGGAATGAGAGCGGTGCATGTTTCTTTGTGAAGGTTTATGTCTGTGTTCCCTCACACATATTTAATGTGTGCATTTGTTTGACTTGCTTACACATCACCAAACCTTGCAGGTAAACGTGTGGACATGCAGCTCATTTCTTTCACAGTGTCCCGTTCATTAGGGAAGTAGGGCAAACATAGCGAGATGGACTTTTTGGCCCTGTGTTATTTTGTTCTGTGGCAACTGACCTGCATAGTTGTAACTTTATCCTATTGTGCTGATGCATGAGTCTGCCTCACATTCAACTTGGTTTCAGACTAGTGGTTCATTGGGAAGTCTCTTAATAGTAGTGGTAGTGATTCACAGTGTCATATGTGGGATATGAATAACAATCCTGACACTCAATGAAAAATAAATAATAATTGTATGCCCAAACCTATTACATAGCCTGTAATGAAAGGATTTTAATTCTTCAAGAAAAAATTAAAAATAAAAATCCCAGTGCTATGGAAATTGGCCAGAAGCAGTCATTCAATCCACTGTGTTTTGACAATGACAACATGTTTTGCATTGTCCTTGCACTGACATCCGTGCTCTGCTCCCATGGGTGTGGGCTGCACTTGTATGGACCCTACAGGGTTGGGTAAGTGGGGTGTTTGTATTTCAAGCTGTCTCTCTCTCTCCCTGCCATGGTGACATAGCACCCGTACTGCCTCATACACACTTATCTTGGGGTTGCTAGTAGTGGGTGTGGGCCTGTGACTGCAGTATGATAACTTTATCAGTCTTATCCCCTGCTGCTGTATGGGGCCAGGGACAGCCAACCATGCTGCTACTCCCCTCTCACGCTCTGAAGACTGTTGGATCTGTGTTTGCAATGGCTTCTCATTGAGATGTTTGGCTGTTCAAACCAGATTCCTGCACTAAGCTGATCCTGTGTACTTTCCTATGTATCTGTGTGAAATCATGTTTAGTGCTGATGAGCACCCCATCATGATAAAATGTTCCATTAATTAACCAAGACACCTCTCACTACTGTTGTTAGCTGTATGTACTTTCCAGTTTCCAGAGGTGTGTGCAAATTCCAACAAACAAACTGGCCTTTTACTATGCCTTTGTCAAAAGTCCGTGTTGAATGTAGACTGTGGAAATATACCTAATGTTTGTGTTCTATTGTGACTGTCTGTTTTCCTCCTGGTGGTGTGAGAGGGATGGTCAGCTGGCAGGTGCCAGATGTCTCTGTGGTACCAGAATTCCCCTGACTGACTGCTGCCATCTCTATTTGGTCACTGTTTATAAGTCAGTGTATGATATTGTTGGTTTGATATAAGTGTAGGCTGGTTAGATCTGACTTGTGTGATTGTGATATGACATATACACTGTGTGTGTTCTTTAGGTGATGTACGTGGGGCAGCGCGAGGGGGCCTGGCGGACAGATCTCTATGCTCTGTACAACAACTGGGACCATCTGAAGGGAAACCTTCCCACCTGCTACTGAGCCCTGAGACTTATTCCACATTTTGTTGTTACAGCCTGAATTCAAACTGTATTAAATAATGTTTTTTTTCTGACCCATCTACACACAACAGAGTATGGACAGTGGTACTCAGTAATGTGTGGTATTGGATTTGCCCAAACATAACACTATATTCAGGACAAAAAGTGAATTGCTTTGCCACATTCTTTGCAGTATTTCTTTAGGGCCTTGTTGCAAACAGGATGCATGTTTTGGAAATATTTGTATTCTGTACAGGCTTCCTTTTCACTCTGTCAATTAGGTAACTACAACTTCAATTATTGTGGAGTAACTACAATGTTGTTGATCCATTAAACTAACTGTTTTAAAGTCACCATTGGCCTCATGGTGAAATCCCTGAGTGGTTTCCTTCCTCTCCGGCAACTGAGTTAAGGACGCCTGTATCTTTGTATTGACTGGGTGTATTGATACACCATCCTAAGTGTAATTAATAACTTCACCATGCTCAAAGGGATATTCAATGTCTTATTTTTTTTACCCATCTACCAATAGGTGCCCTATGAGGCATTGTAAAACCTCCCTGGTCTTTGTGGTTGAATCAGTGTTTGAAATTCACTGCTCGACTGAGGGACCTTACATATAATTTTATGTGTGGGGTACAGAGATGGTCGTCATTCAAAAATCATGTTTAACACTGTTGCACACAGTGAGTCCATGCAATTTTTAGGTGGCTTAAGCAAATTTTTACCCCTGAACTTATTTAGGCTTGCCATAAAAGGGGTTGAATACTTAGACTCAATACATTTCAGCTTTTACATTTCTCAAAATTGAGAAAATATTCAATTTTGACATTATGGGATATTGTGTGTAGGCCAGTGACAATATCAATGTAATCCATTTTAAATTCAGGCTGTAACAATGTGGAAAAAGTCAAGGTGTGAATACTTTCTGAAGGCACTGTATTCTCCCATTCCATAGTAACTTGCTCACTCATCCTATACCTGAGTTAGGCCCCTAGTATTGCACTAAAGGGAGAACAGGTGACCAGAGGTCTGGAAAATGTGAAGCGTTAGACCTAATTTATGCTGTAACGCACATCAACGCTGCACATTCTGATGTATCATAATTTGCTGCTGCTGTGAGGATTCATTGCTGTGAATATCTGATCAAATGCATATGCACAGTTTTTCCCTGGACTGCATGGTCTGTAAATTTTACTTTCAGTCAGTATTATTGACTGGCTTGAATGTTGCTGCTAAAGTTGAAAGCTGTTTTACTGAAGTGAGAGGTGGGGTTGTTGCTTCCTATGGATGTCTACATTACAAGTATCTCATTCCACAACTTTGCATGTGGTAGTTTTCTCAAATGTTTGCTTTTAGTCATTTAGCAGACACTTATCCAGAGACTTACAGGAGCAATTAGGGTTAAGTGCCTTGCTCAAGAGCACATCAGATTTTAATCTGTTACTCGCCCAACGCTCTTAACTGCTAGGCTACCTGCCCTGTAATGTCTTACCAAGCCATCTTGTGACTTCACCTGACATGCCCAAAGATAAGAAGTAAACACACGAGAGGAAAAGGAGGCTATTAAGTCTGTTCTGCTTATCATATCTCGGAAGTAATGTGATTTATTGCTTTTGCTGTTTGAGAACAAATGTCTTCACATTTCTAGCTCCAAAAGGCAACGTTTATAATTGTTAGGTAACAAGTAATCAAGCCAAGTCTATATTTGGGTTGATCTTTGGCCAATGTCAGTCATCGGTAATCATGGGAAGACTGCTGCAACTGGTTTATCTAATCCACAACTCAGTTGCAACAGCACAACATTGGATAATACTGCACTGTGCATTTCTCAAGACCAACTGCCTATGCTTGCAACTTGGTTTGGGCAATAAAAGTTCAAACTCAATACTAGGTTTCCGAAATGAGGAAGTCCAACCACAGCACTCAAGGTTTACTTGTTTTTATTAAGAGTTATATGGTACAGGTATCACAGCAGAGAGCGTAACAAGTGATCATATGGATAGTTATACTTTATGGTAAAAAGCATTTGCACAGCCCCCCCCAGATGAACTGAAAAACCAAGTCCTAGTATCAAACACTAGACCCATTCATCGAGCACCATAGACGGGTTGGCTGACGTCATGAAACTGATGCGCGCATCGATGTGTCTTGAAGCCTCACGTTATGACTGAACGGTCAGATAGCTAGCAACAAACATTGAGACTAAATATAGTTTACATGTTGTCAACAATCTAAACCAACCCCGTTTGCCCCATAGTTGCGCACCAGTTGGTTTTGATGCTAAACAACCAACCCGTCTATTGGGTTTCTCCTCTCCAACGCCGAGAGCCATGTAAACATTTTGAAGCATCTTTGTTCTAACCACTATGGAGAGACATCTAAAGAGGTATTATGCAGAAAGACATACACACCATTGGTTATCAATACATGTTATTTTGATAGGTACTCAAATGATTACGCAGTAGATGTTTGCTTCAATGGATTCAGCCAATCGAAAGTCATATCAATGGAATCTCTATATTGGGCACAACGTTTTCAGCTTGCATATTTTGTAACATGAAAACAATCAACTCTTGCACAGCAGTGAAGATCTCAACACACAGGTGATATATAGGAGGCAAGCCAACCCTGTTTTCACAATGTATCCGCTAAATACAATGAAGCGAACTTTAGGCACATAAACCAGAGCTCTATAGAGTTATGGTAGTGCGATAAGGGTAGATTTATTGGTAATTGTGAATAACTTTAGGTTTAGCATGTAAGATCAGAAGAATACATATACAATTAAATAGAAATCAATGAAAAGAATAGCTTTGCTTACATTACTTGATACTCTTATTTGAGTATGAGGGGTTAACTAAATACCCACAAGGCATAGTCACAGACTGATGGAATCCTGTGAAGACCACTACAATGACCTGCCACTCATATTAATGATGTACATTTGAGAACCCTTTACCACATTCCATAAAAACAAGTATTTCCTAAAATATGGTTGATTAAAATATCTTCTTTCTGTCGCACCCAAACCTCCTACCTCACTCCCATCACCCCAAACCAAAGGAAAATAATTTGACATATTCATGTCAGCTGGTCCTTTCTCGAGACTAGTGATTTTCAATCACATTGAGGATTAGCTTTAGATCCAAGGCTAATCTTGCTAGCTTGACATGGCATTGAGAACTCTACTGTGATTATAGAAGGCAAATTCACAGAATTCCATCAGACCTAAATGCTCAGAACAATCAGATAATGGTCAACTGGCAGTAGCTCCACAAACCCCAGTCTACTTCAGACTGGGGGTGGGAGGCACATCTCCATGACAAGAAAGAAAGGAAAAGAAAAAAGCCCAGTCCCAGAAGAGAATTGTAGGGAAAGGCGAATCAAGACAGTGTGTGCGATGATCAGCTTTTAAGTGGCTCCACAATAGAATCCTCAAAGAAAATATTTTTAAAAAACTACTGGATATACTTGTCACATCTGGAAAAGACAGGGAAAGGAAGTCTAATTAATTCAGGAAAAAATAATTAACAAAATGGACCAAAATAATCCCATGTTGGTGTTCAGAGAAATATGAATGACTATTTCAGCATTTCCCAAACTTGGTCCTGGTGACCCCAAGGGGTGCACCTTTTGGTTTTTGCCATAGCACTACAAAGCTGATTCAAATAATCAACTCATCATCAAGCATTGATTATTTGAGTCAGCTTTGTAGCGCTAGGGCAAAAACCAAAAGGTGCACCCCTTGGGGACTATTAAGATTCTTACCTGTATAGGGACCCTGTGTAGCCACTTCTCTTTGTCTCCACCAATTTTCATACAGGAAAATAGATCACATACTGTGGGAAGGGCATGTCGCTCCTGAAATCAGACCAAGGAACACAGTATGTCAGTGACCCAGCTTTTGCTTGAGGCTTAAATAGATTCACTGGTTGACAGATTACAAAACTAAGAATGCAAAGACTACTATACGCGAGTTTGTCCAATCAGTTCATGATCCATAACCTTACCTGAGCATTGGCCCTCTTGCGTAGAAGCCACTTGTCCTCCTCTGGTTCTGTGCTGGGTTGCTCCTTTGTACTCTCCTGACTCGGTGTGGCAGCAGTGCTAATGTGTGTCTTCTCAGGTAAAACCCAGCACTCTGGCTGCAGTGGTTTGCTTAAGGGGCTTTCTGACTTGGGGCCATTGAACTGGGAGCAGTGTTCCTCCATGCTGGCCTTCTCACCCTGGGAGGCTGGTGGAGACACCCAGGCTGAGAGAGATGACAGGACTGGGGATGTGGAGCCCATGGTCTTGCGAGGCTTGCTAGGGTAGAGCCAGGCCTCCAGGATGGCCTGAACCTTCTGTTCTTGGTTGTAGAGGGTGGACTGCTTGCTGGGGTTGTTCTTGTCCACAGAGACCCCGTTCTTGTCCCGACCCTCCTTCTTGAGGAGCCAGGCGCAGAGGGCTTCTTTGCCGCAGTTCTCGTCACACACACATTGAGAGTAGCTGGAGCAGGACTCGTTGGCTTTGCACGACTGCTGTACTGGAATGGCCTGCTGCAGCCAGATCTCCACAGGGCTGGGTGTGTTGGGGGTTTGGGGTGTGGTGGAGGCGGGGGTAGCAGCAGGGGTGATGGCTGCTGAGGCTGGGAGGGTCTTCAGGCACAAGAGTTTGCCCAGATTCTCAATCTCCACGGACTTGGTGCGGGTGGCACAGCACGAGCCGCAGTCGGATTTGGGCAGCCACTCGCTGGAGGAGAAGCCCTCCTGGAAAGGCTTGAAGACCTGCTTCCACCTGTCAGGGTCAGATGCCTGGCAGCTCTTGCTGGTGGTTTCCTTGGCAACGGTTGCCGGGGTGAGGAGCCAGTCGCTCAGGTCATCTGTATTGGCCCTCTCTTCCTCCTCCTCTCGGCCCACCTCTACCTCCAGAGCCATGTCTATCTCAAACTCATCGATTTTCTCGATGGAGAAGGTTGAGCTGCTGCTGGTACTACAGCTGGTTCTCTCTCTGATGGGAGTCTTCTCCTTTTGCAGCCACATCTCCAGATCCTTCAGCTGGCCCCAGGGCTTGTGGAAGTAAAAGGGGGCCATGGGGCAAGATGACTGGAGGACAGAGGAAAAATACAACTTTAGTCCAGATGCTAAAAACACACCCTGTGATAGTCTGGGTGTAATCAGCCCTGCAACTCTAAATTTCAACACTATTTTGACTTATTAACTTCCAATGGAATCCAAGTGGTTTTCATGTGAAATTAGATATGGTAAATGTTAATTAAAAGTTCATCCTGCTTCTCTGAGCAGATTTGAGATAAACTAAAGAAGTTAATTTCCCACCATCTGGTCTCACCTGAACATCCCTGCGAGTGATCAACCAATCCTGTGGGTTCTTGCTTGACTGGTATCCAACTGGGGCTGTAGTCTCTGGACGGTTTCCAAGGAGCCAGTCGGCAAGAGGTGCAGACTCCACCCTCTACAAAAAAAAAATGAGTGGTCATGTCAGTAGTGTCCTTCTGTGTGTGTGGGGACTCCATGCATGCATACCAGAGGAGTCACCGCTTTACATGGAAAAGTGTTATCTGTGACATTATCAAGGTACAAACCTGTTTCTTAGCTGCGATTGGACAACCCTGCTGAAGCCATTGTCGCTCACTGGTATTTGAGCTTTGAGAGGCGATATTCAGCCCGGGGCCTCCTTCCATGTGCTGGGGAGGGGAAAGGGAAGTTATGAACATTATATCAATAGTGAAAGAACATGTGGGAGATGTCAGGGTATTATGTAAGAAGCAGTAACACATAACATGGATCGAGGAACTAGGCCACAAGGCAGTCAGTCATCTAGGACAGCATAACCAATACAATCACTATGTTATCTCAAACTCCAATCCCCAGCATATTGATAACATGCAATTGTATACCTCCAAAGAACATCAGAATTATTTTCTAACACTCTTTCCTTGACTACTACTGATATATTAAATATAAATGCACATGTCAAAACCGTATTAAATATACCTTTAGTAAACATAAGCTATGTGTGCATTTCTGCTTGTAGCTCCCAGTGGGTCACGTACCTGGGTGGCAATGGTGCCAAAGGAGGTGATGGCCTGACGCAGGGAACGAGTGTCAGCTTGGAAGCTCATCTCAGGGGTTTCCTCAGGAGTCAGGTTCAGAGAAGATAACCTGAACACACAGAGAGGAGACATTTTAGTACTCCGCCCAAAATTCACCCCACACATCTTGTCATCCTCTACTAACGCATTCCAAGCTTCAGGTTCTAACCTGTGACTAAGTCTAACTGAAAATTATAGCGGTATTATGGAAGCAAATACAGAAAGGCTGAAATGATTGCTCAAGCGCCATGTCTATATTGCGAATGCCGACTCCCAAACTACATTCAATCGAAGACAGAGGCCACTGTGCCGGCTCTTACTTTTCCATGCAGCTGGTGAGCTGGTTGGCCAGATCGTTGCTGTTGGAGTTTTCCAGCTGATGAATGAGAATGTCAAACTGGCCTCGGAGCTGTGGGCAAAAGAGAGAGGGAGAGAAAAGGAGAAGGTCAGACTGGGCACCATTAACACGAAGAGGTGGTCACTGAAGTAAGAGACAAAATAGAACTTGATCTTCAGAGGTTTCTGAGCAGACACTGTGCAGTACAGAGAATCTTGCAGTGAGTGTGCAGACACTGGGGTAATACTCACCCAGTGAAGCTGATATAGCTGTGCCTGCAGAGCCTCTCCCTTTAGCTGCTCCACAAGGTCAATCTGCTCCAGCAGCCACACCTCACGGGAACGCATAGACTCCAGGTGTCTGCTGATACAGGTGTGAAGCTGGGACTTCACCTGTAAACACAAGAGAAATTAGCAAAACCGTTTAAAAAAAAAAATTATATATATATATATATATATATATATATATATATATATATATATATATATATATATATATATATATATATATATATATATATACACACACACACACTGCTCAAAAAAATTAAGGGAACACTAAAATAACACATCCTATATCTGAATGAACGAAATAATCTTATTAAATACTGGTGAATGTGCTGACAACAAAATCACACAAAAATGATCAATGGAAATCAAATGTATCAACCCATGGAGGTCTGGATTTGGAGTCACCCTCAAAATTAAAGTGGAAAACCACACTACAGGCTGATCCAACTTTGATGTAATGTCCTTAAAACAAGTCAAAATGAGGCTCAGTAGTGTGTGTGGCCTCCACGTGCCTGTATGACCTCCCTACAACGCCTGGGCATGCTCCTGATGAGGTGGCGGATGGTCTCCTGAGGGATCTCCTCCCAGACCTGGACTAAAGCATCCGCCAACTCCTGGACAGTCTGTGGTGCAATGTGGCGTTGGTGGATGGAGCGAGGCATGATGTCCCAGATGTGCTTAATTGGATTCAGGTCTGGGGAACAGGCGGGCCAGTCCATAGCATCAATGCCTTCCTCTTGCAGGAACTGCTGACACACTCCAGCCACATGAGGTCTAGCATTGTCTTGCATTAGGAGGAACCCAGGGCCAACCACACCAGCATATGGTCTCACAAGGGGTCTGAGGATCTCATCACCTAATGGCAGTCAGGCTACCTCTGGCGAGCACATGGAGGGCTGTGCGGCCCCCCAAAGAAATGCCACCCCACACCATGACTGACCCACCGCCAAACCGGTCATGCTGGAGGATGTTGCAGGCAGCAGAACGTTCTCCACGGCGTCTCCAGACTCTGTCACGTCTGTCACATGCTCAGTGTGAACCTGCTTTCATCTGTGAAGAGCACAGTGCGCCACGTCTCCTGATGTACTGGCCTGTCTCCTGGTAGCGCCTCCATGCTCTGGACACTACGCTGACAGACAGAGCAAACCTTCTTGCCACAGCTCGCATTGATGTGCGATCCTGGATGAGCTGCACTACCTGAGCCACTTGTGTGGGTTGTAGACTCCATCTCATGCTACCACTAGAGTGAAAGCACCGCCAGCATTCAAAAGTGACCAAAACATCAGCCAGGAAGCATAGGAACTGAGAAGTGGTCTGTGGTCACCACCTGCAAAACCAGTCCTTTATTGGGGGTGTCTTGCTAATTGCCTATAATTTCCACCTGTTGTCTATTCCATTTGCACAACAGCATGTGACATTTATTGTCAATCCGTGTTGCTTCCTAAGTGGACAGTTTGATTTCACAGAAGTGTGATTGATTTGGAGTTACATTGTGTTGTTTAAGTGTTCCCTTTATTTTTTTGAGCAGTAATATATATATATATATATATATATATATACACACACACAACACCGTTCAAAAGTTTGGGGTCACTTAGAAATGTCCTTGTTTTCCATGAAAACATACATGAAATGAGTTTGAATAGGAAATATAGCAAAATGCATAGGAAATGTAGTCATTGACAAGGTTAGAAACAATGATTTTTAATAGAAATAATAATTGTGTACTTCAAACTTTGCTTTCGTCAAAGAATCCTCCATTTGCAGCAATTACAGCCTTGCAGACCTTTGGCATTCTAATTTGTTGAGGTAATCTGAAGAGATTTCACCCCATGCTTCCTGAAGCACCTCCCACAAGTTGGATTGGCTTAATGGGCACTTCTTACGTACCATACGGTCAAGCTGCTCCCACAACAGCTCAATAGGGTTGAGATCCGGTGACTGTGCTGGCCACTCCATTATAGACAGAATACCAGCTGACTGCTTATTCCCTAAATAGTTATTGCATAGTTTGGAGCTGTGCTTTGGGTCATTGTCCTGTTGTAGGAGGAAATTGGCGCCAATCAAGCGCCGTCCACAGGGTATGGCATGGCAAAATGGAGTGATAGCCTTCCTTCTTCAAGATCCCTTTTACCCTGTACAAATCTCCTACTTTACCACCTCCAAAGCACCCCCAGACCTCAACATTGCCTCCACCATGCTTGACAGATGGCATCAAGCACACCTCCAGCATCTTTTCATTTGGTCTGCGTCTCACAAATGTTCTTCTTTGTGATCCGAACACCTCAAACTTCGATTTGTCTGTCCATAACACTTTTTTCCAATCTTCCTCTGTCCAGTGTGTGTTATTTTGCTCATCTTAATCTTTTATTTTTATTGGCCAGTCTGAGATATGGCTTTTTCTTTGCAACTCTGCCTAGAAGGTCAGCAACCCGGAGTCGCCTCTTCACTGTTGACGTTGAGACTGGTGTTTTGCGGGTACTATTTAATGAAGCTGCCAGTTGAGGACCTGTGAGGCATCTGTTTCTCAAACTAGACACTAATGTATTTGTCCTCTTGCTCAGTTGTGCACCGGGGCATCCCACTCCTCTTTCTATTCTGGTTAGAGCCAGTTTGCGCTGTTCTGTGAAGGGAGTAGTACACAGCGTTGTACTAGATCTTTAGTTTCTTGGCAATTTCTCGCATGGAATAGCCTTCATTTCTCAGAACAAGAATAGACTGATGAGTTTCAGAAGAAAGTTATTTGTTTCTGGCCATTTTGAGCCTGTAATCGAACCCACAATTGCTGATGCTCCAGATACTCAACTAGTCTCAAGAAGGCCAGTTTTATTGCTTCTTTAAATCAGCACAACAGTTTTCAGCTGCGCTAACATAATTGCAAAAGGGTTTTCTAATGATCAATTAGCCTTTTAAAATGATAAACTTGGATTAGCAAACAACGTGCCATTGGAACACAGGACTGATGGTTGCTGATAATGGGCCTCTGTATGCCTATGTAGATATTCCATTACAAATCAGCCATTTCCAGCTACAATAGCCATTTACAACATTAACAATGTCTACACTGTATTTCTGATCAATTTGATGTTATTTTTAAAAAATGCTTTTCTTTCGAAAACAAGGACATTTCTAAGTGACCCCAAACTTTTGAACGGTAGTGTATGTATTAGATAGATAGATAGATACGAGAATACGTACACACACAAATACAAACACTGCTGTCAAGTCACGGCCCTGAGATGTCTCTCTGATACGGAGCACTCAGGGGCTGAGCAGGTTCTTTAATCTCCTGCTGCTGACGCTAAGCAAGGTCAGACACACAGACAAGACAGCGCAATGACCTACACACCCATCTGCAATCTGCTCCTAGCATAAGGGCAAAGAAGAAGGGCAATAACATAAGGTTTTACCTATTCCTCTGCTGGTTAGTCAGAAAAAGGCTGGATGATTCTCTAAGACGCAATGAGAAGTGAGCTGCTGCAGTAGTGGATACTCTGCTGTCGGAGTCCTCGCAGACTGCAATGACCAGCCTCTCCCCCTGCTGCTGCCTTATAAAGGCAGGTCTGGGGAACTCTATCCCGTAGTCATGTTTCAATTATTGGTCTCTCCGGTTCCCCTTCTCACCCTCATAACATGAGCCACATACTAATCATTAACTGTGGTCACGACAGGAGGACAAAGACCCATTTTAACAACACATCTCTAACATGTCAGGGCTTAGCGTGTCTGCCGCAGTTATGACATACAATAATGCCATGGATCAGTTTGTGGAAAACTAATGATTACCCTGCCAGGTGTGCTAGGCTTCCCAGCACATCAAAACATACACACCCAAAGCCATCTGCCTTCCTGAGGCCTGGGGTGACTAACCATGGTGCTTGTCCTAAATCCATGAAAAGCACTGTGTTTACAGCATAGTGCCCATTGTATGTCCTGACATAACCGGGGCATGAAGACTGACCCCGTGGGAGTTCCTACTGAGCCACTAGAACTGTGTCATCCCTGGGTGGGGCCAAGGGCTGTAAGAGGGTCTTCTGATGGCTGACTCACCTCTCTGGAGTTATCCTTGAGCTGGGCCTCAGCCCTCGTCACCCCACTGATGGCCTCCTCCAGCTGACAGCGAGCCTGCACACACTGCCTGAGGGTGGCCTTCTCGTGCTCCTCCATGGTAAACATTCTGCAGAGGCACAGTTGTTATAGGGTTGGACTTTGATATACAGTGAGCTCCATAATTCACTGGACAGTGACCATTCTTTTGTTATTTTGGTTCTGTACTCTAGCACTTTGAGTTTGAAAGGATACAATGACAATGAGGGTGAAGTGCAGACTGTCAGCTTTAATTTGAGGGTATTTTCATACATATCGGATGAACCGTTTACGAATTATAAAAGCTTTTGTACATGGTCCCCCCCATTTTCGGGCATCAAAAAACATTGGACAGTTTAACATAATGTAGAATAAAGTAATCATTGTTAATATTTGGTCGCATATCCTTTGCATGCAATGACTGCTTGAAGTCTGCGATGCATCGCCATCACCAGACGCTGGGTATCTTCCCTGGTGATGCTCTGCCAGGCCTGTACTGCAGCCATCTTAAGTTCCTGCTTGTTTCGGGGACTTATTGCCTTAAGTCTCCTCTTCAGCATGTAAAATGCATGTTCAATTGGATTCAGATCTGGTGATTGACTCCGCCAGTCAAGGATTTTCCACTTTTTGGCCATCAAAAACCCCTTTGTTGCTCTAGCAGTATGTTTAGGGTCATTTTTTGGTCTGGGGAACTCTTGTTGCATGATTAAGTGCCGTCCAATGAGTTTGGAGGCATTTGGTTTTATCTGAGCAGATAAAATATTTCTGTAGACTTCAGAATTCATTGTTCTACTTCTGTCTGCAGTCACATCATCGATGAAGACAAGTGAGCCTGTTCCACTGGCAGCCATACAGGCCCAAGCCATAACACCCCCTCCACCATGTTTCATGGATGAGGTGGTATGCTTTGGATCATGGGCATTTCTTTTTTTTCTCCACACTTTTGTCTTTCCATCACTCTGGTACATGTTAATCTTTGTCTCATCTGTCCACAATACTTTTTTCCAGAACTCTTGGGGCTCTTTTAGGTGCTTTTTAGCAAACTGTAATCTTGCCTTTCTGTTCTTCAGGCTTATCAGTGGTTTGCATCTTGTAGTGTACCCTCTGTAGTCCTGCTGGTGTAGTCTTCTGCGTATGGTAGACTTTGACACATTTACACCTGCATCCAGGAGAGTGTTTTTGATCTGTTATCAGGGGTTTTTTCTTCACCATAGAGAGTATTCTCCGGTCATCCACTACAGTGGTCTTCCTCTGTCTACCGGGTCTTTTGACATAATTGAGTTCACCGGTTGTTTTTTTCTTGTTAATGATGAACAAAACTGTTGACTTGGGCATGGCCAGGGTTTTTGCAATGTTCCTGAATGATTGATTTTCATTTCTGAGCCTTATGACGTCCAACTTCATTTGCATCGACACTGCTGTCTTCCTCATGTTGTCACACCCCAATAACAACCTCCAAAGGCAATAGCAACGTCTAGAATCATTACTATTCATCAACAGCTCTCCTGCATTCACTAACGACACAAATGAATACACCTGCCTAACGACACACATCTGTGAAGCCAATTTAACAAATACTTGTAGTACCTTAAAATGGGGGGACCATGTACAAAAGGTGCTGTCATTTCTAAACGGTTCATCCGATATGTATGAAAATACCCTCAAATTAAAGCTGACAGTCTGCACTTCACGCTCATTGTCATTGTATCCTTTCAAACTCAAAGTGCTAGAGTACAGAACCAAAATAACAAAACAATGGTCACTGTCCAATGAATTATGGAGCTCACTGTATAGTATGTTACTTTTTGACAGAACAGCATTTATTTGTGTTTTCTTTCCAAAGACTTAAATCCTCCCTTGGTTTAGTGAACCACTGTCTGCCGAATAGGGGGTGTTCTCGAACAATCAACAAAGTTTATTGGCTATGCACTAATAAAGCAAGTGCTTCCCCTAGTCTAAATATTGCGTGAGTATGTAAATATTTTACTGTCAGCACTGAGAGGTTACATTTCTGTTCCCTTTTGCTGTGAAACCACCACATACATTTTAGTCATTTAGCAGACGCTCTTATCCAGAGCGACTTACAGTTAGTGAATACATATATTATTATTTTTTCCTGCTTTCTCTCCTTTTTCACTTCTGCTTTACATCTCTTAACAGGAACATAGAGCATTTGGGGAAAATTAAGTATCAGACTACCATTACAGTAGACTAATTGTCATTGTGACCACCAACAGGTTCAAGATCAGGGTCCAGGCTCCACAGGGAGAGCCTACTGTACTTCAAAATCTACTGAGTGCTGTATACCGTTAATCAGTAGCATGTGTGGAGACATATATATATATTTTAATTGTCATTTAGCAGACGCTCTTATCCAGAGCGACTTACTGGAGCAATTAGGGTTAAGTACCTTGCTCAAGGACACATCGACAGATTTTTCACCTAGTCAGCTTGGGGATTAGAACCAGCGACCTTTCGGTTACTGGCACAACGCTCTTAACCACTAAGCATTAACAAAAATTGTTCATTTTAGCAAGGGAATTAAGTTGGAAGGAATGTTTAGGCTAGGCTATTAGTTCTGAATTGGTCTCATGGCTTCTTGTTGACTCGGCCCAACACTAGCTTTGAGGTATCTCACATAATATCCCTCACTCACTCTGTCATTATTGAGCCCACAACAATACCGCATCCTAAAACTTTTACTCAATCACTACCTGTCTTTTTGGGCATAGTTGTCCATTTGTAGTTAGTGTACTAATTATTATAATTATGTTATCCCCCCCTGAACCATGCATTCGCTCCGACAAAAATCGGCCCGCGAGTGAATCGAGATGCCTACCTCTGGCCTTGACTTTAATCGGCTAATATATAGCATGTAACCAGTCCCTTGCAACAAAGTAACTGATACAAATGGACGCTTTAAAGATGTATTTTGTTAGAGTAAAAGTATGTCCTCTCCAGGCAGCTGGTTTTTACTCTTTCTTTGATCATAGGACGACAAATGTCAAGGTGTTTCTCATCTTAAAACAGCACCGTCTTCCACAATTAACCGGTTGGTCAATACATTTATTCCGGTTTAAATGTCATGCAACGTTAACTCGTGTAAAAATGAAGGAGCTTGTCTCTACGAGGCTCGAATCGTCGAGGCTGGCTATGTAAGATGGCAGCAAAGATGGCGTATTCTTGAAAATCTGCCGTACAAAGCCACCCACAAACTCCAAGGTTATAGCTACCTTATGTTGCTGTATGTCTGGTGATATCTCTCCGTTTAAATCCTCTGATGTAGCTCCCTTGTTTCAAACTAAATAGACCAGTTTAATTGTTTGCTTTCATGAGCCATTTATCAAGCCACGAACCAAGGCTGATTGCTACGTCATAGGCTGTTTCTGTCAGATGTGCGCAGAGCAACCCTTTATTCTATTTCTATGAAGCAACCACCATCAGTTTCGCATTCCGCACGTACACCACCACTAGTAGGAAGAGAAGGGCCCTTCAAAGGGGGTTCAAGACAGACAATCGAATCCTTTTCAGCTTTTGTCACACACAACCAAAGAAATGCACAGGCTCAAGGCGCGATGAACACACTAATGATTTTCCATGTGGGCAATAGACTTCAAGTTAACAATGCCAGTACTAGCCACCACCAGAAATGTGAAGAGTTCCACACTCACCATGTCATATGATTGGAAAATTGCACAAATATAACAGTAGCTGCTTCTTTCCCCATTGTGAACCATTATTCAGTATTTTATAGTGATACGTTGGCTGCTCCAAAATGAGTACTTGTGTTAATGTATCACGTTGCAAATGTTTTGGGCAATCAGTAAATTGTGTGTGTGTTGAAAGCTAACTTACACAATCATGTGTTGACAATCCCTACCCTAACCCATTTTACATTTCAACGGGTAACTGTTTCTTAATCCTGATCCTGGGGACTCGAAGGGGTGCACATTTTAATTTTTGCGTTAGCACTACACATCCAATTCCACTAATCAACTCATTAATCCTTTGATTGGTGGAATCAGGTGTCTGGTGTTAGGGCAAAAATAAAAATATGCACCCCCAGGGACTAGGCTTAAGAAACACTGGGTGGGGATCCCAGATAGCAAGGACCATCCGATAGTGTTTCGGTTAACACCGACCACTATCGATTATTACCAGCATGTTATCTATAGCTAGCTAGTATAATTAAACAATTGCAGTTTCTTGGCTGTTTCATACCGCTTGCCTGCTCAATGAAGTCGGAAGATGTTTAGCTACTCGCTAGCATTAGCGTAATAGCTACCTTAGCTAATTTTCGTGCGCTAACGTCGTTAGCTAGAACAGCTAACAGAGCTAGAAAGCTGCCGTTGTTTCAGAATTTAGTAGCTAAATGTTCACATGCCACCGGCCGCACCTACCCTTTCTCCTTGTATTGCACTCTTGACTTAGACATCGACGTAGCTAGCTAATTGGTTTTAAAATATAATTAACCCCGGCAAAAGTCAACTGCTCCTCTTTTCTTCAGGAAAAACCCAATGAAGTATATAAACCCTGGATTGCTAATGTTTTGGCCATTGAGATGATTTGAAGCCACCGGTCGGCCATATTGACACTTTCTAGTAGAAGCATCCTCCATAGGAATGAATCGAATTCTACAGTTTTTCAAATAAATGTTAAGGACAAAATTAAATCTAAGTATTTGGTTGTAGTGGGGGCAGTAACATCACCCCCCCCCCCCCCAAAAAAAAAAAACCCGAAGGAAAATGTTTTCTATTTTTATGTTTAGCTCACAATATAATGTTAAAGTTTGCCTTACGTGGTATAAGAATAAAACGTGTCAAAAACGAATGTAGACATTAATAAATGCCTTTCTATAGGTTCCAAAATAATAATACAAATACAATCGAGGTGTGCCAAGATGGCTGCGCTGTGGCTTCAATACAGCGTCAGTCATCCAGGGTTTATGCATATCATCGGTCAAACCAGAGAGAAAGAGGCGAAGCGAGAGGATTTACTCCACCCACAATATTTTTGTATGTAGATCTATGAGTTGTGCGTTTCCGGCAGACTAGACGCTGTTTTGCTTCCTTTCTCAAATCGGATTGCGAATTAGACATTTAAATATCTTAATAGCCTCACACCTATAGGTGCAGGCCGGTGGAATAGAGAAACAACAACAGCTTCTTTGCTATTTCGCGCTGCCTGTCATTTAAGGCCAACATTGTTACAAGCGAAAATGTGGTTACACCCAACTCAGCCAGCTCACAGAGAATTGTCCTCAGCATACCACCTGCATTATAGGACGACATGCTTCAGTCTACCTCCCCACATTCCTCACTCTTCCCCTCTGGGTGTTTCCCCAGTAACAATAACCAAACCTCAGCCTTGTCAACAGAACTCCATCCCTCCTTTCAATCCGCAGATACCTATGGACCTTCTTCAGAATTCTGGAGGGAAAAAAACATGCCCTCTCCGTTCCTCCACTCACGTTGCCACTCCTGGGTCAACCCCTCTGCAATGATGCTCCTACATTCCACCCCCCATAACAGGACCACCATATCTACCTCCCTCTTCAGAGCTGCCTTATCTGGTGCCTCATTTCCCCCTACCTAAAATGCCATCAACAGCTCTATCAGGTTTGGACATGCCTTTGACTTCCCTTCTCTCAGCGCAACCAGGCTAGCGGCAGAGTCTGAACACAAAATTACCCTTTTATGCCCCACTTCTTCCACCCATCCCAATGCCCACACTAGTGCTAGCATTTCAGCAAAGACTGAAGCTCCATCAGACAGCCGCATCCCAAACTCTGCTGGGTCCCTTGACCCATCTGTGAAGATCCTCAAGTAGAGACCCCATGCCCGCAGCAGATGGGCCTCAACCACCACAGAAGGCGCTCCGCACTGTGCGCAGTCCTCAGCCCTTATTTCAAAATAAGAGTCCCTCGCTTTGTCTTGCCAAAATAAATACTCCAGCAATTTCCTATTTTCAAAATAATTCTAAAAACTGATCAGAGTTGTGGTGGTAAAAGGACTGCATCTTGCTGTAACTGTTGGTTTGAGTTAGGGCTATCATGGTGGTGTCCATTAAAACACAGATGGTGGTTTGCAGTTCAAACGGCTGTTGCCGGGTTTATTACTTTACAGTTGAATTAAAGATAATGGTGACAACAAGATTGAAGGATGGAATGATTAACTACGAAACAAAAAAACATACATGGTAGTGATTTCATATAAACCATATGCAGATAAACAAATATACTCATGAATCTCAATAACATTAAAATAATTTTAAGGTGAAGAAACTTAGGCAATAGGTTTAAACATAAGTAAAATAAATGCATAAAGCAAACATAAACAGTAAATGTTCTAAATCAAATTATAATATAAATTAAGAAATAAGAACAAACTTACTTGGTCATAAACACATTCAAAATACACAAAGGAAAGGGTTACAAGCGAAAAGGTGTCTTGTAACAAAACACTTACAAACTGAAATGGTAAGATCTGCCTCACCAATTAGTGACAGGTCTGGGTATTTAAAGGTGGTGAAGGAGCTGGAGTCCTGTCTCTGTTGGAGGGGGATTGGACTGTTGGTCAGGGTAGGGGCAATTCGACCACAATAATAAACTACCACAGTATGAGTCATAATACCCATAAAACCTAGCTGTCAAACAGGGAAATGGTTCCAATCGTTTTTCCACCATTCATTTGTCCCACGGAGGATTTTATAAACACTTAAAATAAGGGCTGTGTTTCGTGTAGGCTTAGCCTGGCGTAACATTTTGATAACCGTGTAAATCTCTCTAGGACAAGGTGACTTTTATCAATATATTTGCCTGTATTTAACCCCCCAAAATGAAATGCTAATCAGCTGCTAATGTGGCTATCATAAAGAACTTACAAATGCCATGATGATCTGGACGCGACTGCCAAATCGAGGCAAAGGTAAGAATCTGGATTAACCATCTAAATGTTAACGTAGTAATGAATAAATTGGCTACATTTCTTTAAATTGACAATATGGTGTACTGTCTTGTGCAAATTTTACATTGACAATACCGATTAGCAAAGGTGTCAGCTAGATATGACGTGCAGGAGCTTGCAGGGATTTGTAGTTTTGCATGATGTCTACTTTGATGCTAATTAGCATTTTCAAATCTGAGAGAAAATAGAGCCACATATATTGATGTCACCTTGTCCGAGAGAGATTTACATGGTTATCAAAACATTACGCCAGTCTAAGCCTACACGAAACACAGCCCTCATTTTAAGTGTTTATAAAATCCTCTGTGGGACAAATGAATGGTGGAAAAACGATTGGAACCATTTCCCTGTTTGACAGCTAGGTTTTATGGGTATTATCATGACACCTCCACTGTGGGGCTCTATAGCGCCTTTTCTTTATGCCAAAATTGAATTCTGTCATTTTCCGATTTCAAAATAAGTGTTGATTAGTCATGCCAAAATAAGTCCTGCATTTCCAATTTTTAAATAAGTCTCACGATTTGTCATGTTTTTTAAAAATGTATATTTGATTTAATTTCAATAGTAATATAAAACCCCAGGGGGAATGTCATAAAATTGTCAAGGCACAGGTATACATTAAACACAATGTAATGCTATGAACCCACCCCTTTGTTAGTGTTATCCCAACTCATGTTAGGTTGCCTCAGACCAGTAAAGGATGCATCTACGTCTGCATCTGTCATATTGCTGACTACCTTTAAAAGTGACATTGTCTGAAATAAAGTCCAGAAAGTTAATTCCAGTCTCAGCCATTACGTCATATGATTTCCTTTTCAGTAATATTATATAGAGAGAAAACCCTGCAGAGTACATAACCTATGTGGGAACTGGCACCTACACCAAAATCAAAGAAGAAAATATATCAATACAATTGTAATGATTGTTATTTTGACCATTGCAACTGTCAACACATGAAAAAATAACACAATGTAGCACACAGACATTTATGTAAATGATTAATGAGATACACATAATTAAACAGCATGGGAAGGGCAATGTTTTTGGGGCGGTATTAGCAATGAATTTAGCAACAAGTGTTTGTGCCAGACAAGACTAACCTAGAGACAGCAGTCAGGATTTATTAAATCATATCAGGAAAGGGTAACATAAAATACTGTATGTAGTCAACATGTAATTAATCATTAGTTTATGATAAAACAGTTTCAATCAAACAATCACTTTACTCTCTGTTTTTAGTCTATCTTGTGAGGGATACGGTTCTTGTGGTTTCCTTTTGATAAACACCTGTCAAACAGACAGCCTCTTATGTAATTGTGCCATTTGAAGTATTTGGGTCAGGCAGGATCCTTCACAGCAGTGCATGTCTTTTCCTGTCAGTGTGGAGACTGTTGTAGACACAAAATGGACCATAGCTGCAGCCACCTCTTCCAGTTCAGCTTGAGTTAGTGGACATCCAGCTCACCCATGCAAAGTTATAAAAATAAGCAGCATTCGTCAACACATGTAAGACCTTCAGTGATACTGAGAGCATCAACATGTTTTGCAA